TTCCTCTATCCACCAGCACTGTGGTGCTTAGTAGTACACACAGGCCTCTAACACAGAGAAAACCATCTCTCGCTAGCTTGACTAGAGATTAGTGTTCTGTTGAAGAAATGCCAAGTACAAAAATACCTCCTTCCTATACTTCTGAGGAATTTTTGTTATAGCAGGTGTCTTCTGTTGAACTTCTTGAGGAAACCTTCTCAAAACCATGGGAAAAAAAGGGATAAAGGATCAACCTTGGAAATAAATTAGGTAGTGTTTATTGACAGTGCTGTCTGCTTTTGTATTCTTATAGTTGAGAGCTTCTCTCTCTTTAAGTGGTAGGAAGGGAATCAGTTAAGTCTTTTGACTAACTACAGCATTCAAGTAAATCTTAATGTTGTAGGAGCAACATTTGATTGTTGTTCCTACAACATTTGATGGTTGATTGCAGAGTAGATACATGAATGTGGGAATATATGTAACATTGATTTTACTAATCAACAGAGTTAATTCTTGTATGAGACAAAGATACGAAGGATTTCTGAAGTTCTGCTGTAATTTGAAACTTGGTTTTTCTGTTATCTTGATTTTTTTCTTTAGGTGCATGTGAAGGAACGCTAGCCTGTTCAACTTGTCATTTAATCTTTGAAGACCACATATTTCAGAAACTAGATGCCATTACTGATGAGGAGATGGACATGCTTGATCTGGCATATGGTCTCTCAGAAACGTAAGGCAATGTAACACTTTACTACATCAAAGAATGGAAAGAAGGGTTTATCAGTGGGGCAGTTCAGTATTCTTAGAATGCCTTAATTGGCTTTTAATGAATAGCTGGATTCTGTTACACAAATGGGACTGACAAATTTAAATTTTGTTTATCTGAATTCATATTAAAAAGATGTCACTACTGCTTCTGTAAACTGAAGTGGCACTTGCCAGTACTTGCTCTTCAGAGGTGTCTGATACAGAAGTGTCAAATACTGAACTATGACCAAAAACTCAGTTCCTTCAACACAAACTTTGCCACTGCTGTTGTGTGTGTAAATTCTTGTTCTTGCTTCCTTCCCTTCTGTTTTCTGTCTCCATTAGTCTGTAGCTAGTTAATGTATTTTATGAATGTGTTTATGTTAGTAATTTAGTTTTGGTCAGATCTTTTCACAGAATCACAGAAGGGTTGAGGTTGGAAGGGACCTCTTGAGGTCACCTGGTCCAACCCTCTGCTCAAGCAGGGCCACCTAGAGCTGATGTCCAGAAGGCTTTTGAGTATCTCCAAGGATGGAGACTCCACAACCTCTCTGGTATTTATGTACATTGATAAAATCCTTCTCTTGAGCCTTCTTTAGGATAGTGTCCCACATGGCAGTGTCCCAACTTGTCATGCTTTGCCTCTTGTCAGATTGCTCTTGGCCCAAAAGCCAATCTGTCTTGTGCGCTCCCAAAGTGTGCTCTAACTGCTAATGGGCTCCTTCTCTCGAGCCTTCTTTAGGATAAAGTGTCCCACATGGCAGTGTCCCAACTTGTCATGCTTTGCCTCTTGTCAGATTGCTCTTGGCCCAAAAGCCAATCTGTCTTGTGCGCTCCCAAAGTGTGCTCTAACTGCTAATGGGCATTTTGGTGCATAGGATTGGAGTAGTGGTAGTCTAAAGTCACCTTTTGTTCTACATCTCCCCCACCATTACATGCCTTGTAATTAGGGCGTCACATCCTCACCACAGACCTGTTCCTAGTGCACTACTTACAGGCTACGTGTACACCAGCATTGTAGAACATACCCATGTCAACAGTGGGCAGCTTTGCCTTGTGAGGTTTCATAAGCCCTTTCCTTCAGGCTTCAGTGGAAGTACTTGTTGAAGTTTCGGAAGATCTTTCCAATTATATCAGAGGGCTTAATACCTGGCTTGTATAGCATAGAGGTTTCTATTTCTCTGCAAAGAAGTATCCTGAATTAATTCATATGTCTCCTCATACCAGTAATGGCAATCCTGTACTAATTGTTTCTGTGTGAAGGTACACTTTTTTCTTGCTTCAAACAAATTTTAACTTTTCTGGGAGGCTGTGAAGGCAAAGAAGTCAAGCTATGAGAAACTTGTTTAAGCTTGGTTGTATTCTTTTTTTGTGTGTCCCAAAAAGCATTTTCAATTTTGAAAAAATCATAAGCCTATTAAGTGTGAATTTATTTTTTCACCCTTACCACCTGCTATAAGTCTCCTAACTTTCAGGTTCTGGGCCAAACCAATTCCTAAACAGCTCTGAAGGCCACATAGAACAGTGTAACTTTGTGTACTTGAAATAAGCTCTCAGCTGGCTAGTGTCTTTCCAGGAATGTCACCTTAAGGTTTGGTGTAAAAATACCTCAAAAAGGTAAATGGTACATTGGCAATATTAGGTAGGAACAAGCAGAAAACCAGAAAATACCATTGCATGATGAAATTGGGATTCACCATATCTTTATACTTGTGCAACTCTGACTTCTTGGGGTTTTTTTTTTTGTGTAAAGGCCTATAGAAATAGTTTGAGGTAGAATGGCTTTCATGTGGGGATTGACTAAATCATCTTTTTTTGTGTGTCCAAGCTTCTGCAGCTTTGAGAGGTGGGAAAATCTGGTTTATAAAATTGTAAATGCTCTGGAAGAATTTGAACAGAAGGTAGTTTTTTTTCTCACAATGTTATGTAGTGTTGCATAGTGTTTTTTGTACTGCTGTTTAGCAGGCTCAAAACAAAGGGCAATGTTATTTCACGTGAAGTAAGTCCATTACTGTGCTACTGAGTCCACATGCAATTAGCATTGGTCCTTAGTGAAAAATCGACACTTCAGTAAAATTAAGCCTTATGGGCAATGCTACATACAAATACCAGAAATCACATCTGTCTAGTAGATTTAATTTCTAAAGCTATTTTTATAGATGCATATTAATGAGATTAAATCTTCTGTTACTGGAATCTATGTATAAGTACATACATTACTTTGAAGTTGATGTGTACAGTCATTTGCATAGAAATATTACTTTTGGGTATAGTACTGAATTGGGAGCTTTAATGACCATTGATCATTTCATGCTTGAAAGAGTTCTGTATAGATATTAATGTAGTACCATTTTTTATAATATCTCTTCCTACATTCCTATACTGATGGGGTTATTATTCAGCTGATGCTATAGAACATTGCCCATCTTTGCTGATGTTTCAGTATTCCATACTTAAGTACCAAAGCATGGACATTGAATCAAAGATATCCCAGCCATAAAAGTGGCTTGTGGTGTCTGCAGAATTTTGGCAGTATTAAATCTTTTGATTTTAATTGCTCACATAGAAGATTTTTTTTGATGCTGAATGATAGAAAAATAAAGGATTGCATCTCCTCAGGTGCCATTAATATTTTATACTTCTCCTTCCTGTATTTCTTGTCTCTTTACTCTTACCTTTTGGGCTTAATGACCCAGTCTTGAGTTGTTTAGTTTGAAAACACTGGTCTGTCTTCAGGCCCTAGATGGGTTAGGCTATGCTTTCTCTGAGGTTTTCATTCAGATGGATTGCCTTCATCTCTTCAGAGATGCCAGATGTACCCTGGGACATCAAGTGTCATTCCCTGCACTTGACTAAATTATTAGTGAACCATTGACAGTGGAACAGTCACCCTTATTGTATGTTGTCTCAGCACATAGGAAGGACTCGATGTACAACTTTCCAATGTACTGAACTCTGTTACTTAATGTAAAACACGATTATTGACACGTATCTTTGCATTCATGCATGCAGTTCACTACTAGTCTTGATTAAGATCATGCACAGGGGTGGCTGTTTCTAGATCATGATGTGTTTGGGATGGCTGAATGTTGTAAGCGTAAGGGAGTAAATGCCGTTACATATATGATTGGCTGGGACTAATGATGATGTTGTATTTAAAAACACGCTTAGGCTGCCAAATCTGCTTGAAGAAATGGATGGATGATATGACTGTTCGAGTACCAGAAGCTGTTGCTGATGTTAGACAATCAGTAGATATGAGTAAAAACTCCTAAAATAAAATATCTTAGGGGTTTTAAAGGAGCTTAATTATTTTTATAACTTATTTTTAAATGTGTAATTACATATGGAAACTTACATAATTGTGAGTTATTTTATATGACTATCAATATTAGATTAATGCTATTTTAATTTTCTTTATAGAACCTCCTATATTTTTACGCTTAATGCAATAATACTTCTTATAACTGATCATTGGATTATAAACATTAACAAATGTACTACAGATTTCATATAATATTATTCTGCCGAAACCTTTAATGACATTTGAAAACTTGATCACTTCTGCAAGACTTCTCCTAAAATACCCTGTGCATTTCTAGGTTTCAGACCTGGATATGTGATATGTTGGAGAACAAAATTAGTAAGACTGCATGAGATCTTTTTGAAGTGTTGTCATTAAAGATGGTCTACTCAGAACTAATTCACTTTCTCAATAAATATGATACTTCCTCAACAAATGGTGGGTTTTCAGGGTAGGGATTTTCCAAAGTTTGGAATCTTAATGAGATGTGGCAAATTTTGTCTTTCAAGAATACTGTTAAAACCATGAAATCTAGGGGCTGATACAGAATGTTGGCATCTGCAGCTTAATTGCTGCAGTGCATCTCTGTTGCCCAGACAGAGGTCAATAAACCTCGGTTTAACTATATTTATGTTTGACTAAACCACAAATATGGGGATACACATGGCTTAGAGAAGTAAAGCCTTGGAGCTGTCTAGCAGGAGAGCACGTCCACTGGAGGTAACTTTAAATTCTTGCTGTTCTCTGAAGATGGCTGGGTTAGGATTGAAGAGGGCAATGTTTGTCAACATAAGATTTGTTCTGAAATCTTCGTCTTGCTTTTTCAGTTTTGAGCTTGTTCAGGAGGCAGTCTGGTGTTAGCTGGGGTGTTCATCTTGATGAGATTCCTAGATTCTGGGCCTTGCTCTTAGGATCATTTCAGTAATCGTTGATGTGAAATGATGAAGTATATTTATTCCATGAAGATGGACTAGGTTCCCCAGAACAGGTAGGGAGAGGCCCATGGTGGGATAGCATGTGGACTGATGAAGAGCTTTCAGCTGGATCTTGGTTTAGTCTTTCTAAAGTAGACCAACATAAAATGTCTCGAAGACTCTATTATTCTCTCCAGAGTTTGTTGGCTAAATACTTAAATGAAATGGTTGTCACCCATGCAATAGTTGTTACCCTTATAAGGTTATTTTAATATTTTGGTCATATTTTATATATAAGCTGTTTATGTACATTTGAATGATCTAATGCATTCATTAATGCCTTATTTGAACTTGTGACAATGCCATCTAGACATCTTTTCTTGCATTAGTATATCTATGGGAGAGGGGAAAAAATATTATTTTTCCAGTATTGAATATTGGGATTATTTTGAGCTTCATAAAGAGAAAAAATATTTTCTGTAACTGTACTGAATATAGATCTAGTTCAGATTCCTTGATTTCCTCTCTGAGTAGCTATTAGGTTTTTTTTCCTGGTGTTCCCTTTGATCTTTCCCCTAAAACAAGGTATGCTTAATGTGATCTGCTCAGAACTTAATCATATAGAGTTTTCAGAATACACTTCCTATCTCATTTAATTCAACATATGACTTAAGAGTTGAAATTTCATGGCTTTTTGAAAGACAGAGCGAGGTTGGAGAAAGTGTCTTCAGAACATCTCTTCAAATTTACTTACACCCTGTCTTCTCTTCAACTGCTGTGACTTTAACTGTAATTTAGAGGTTCCCTTCCCACAGTCAGGTGCTAAGGTAAATTGATTCTCACTTTGTATTGCCTTTGTCCTGCATTAATTTATATACAGTAATTTTTATTAAATCTTGAACTTTTATTTTTCACGAGACACAGCTCTTTAGCTTCCAAGAGAGGGAACTTGGGTTGTAACCAGATGTACTGTGCATTCTTACATGGGAAAAAAATCTGAGGTTTCGGTATAGTTGTGTTTTGGGGTTTTCTTGGGTTTGGGTTTGTCTTTTTTACTTAGAGCACCAGGCACTTCTCCTTGTGGCAATCTTGAAGCACTTAACACTGTGTTAAACAATGTGAAACAGCTCTCATATGACAGTTTTCTTTCTAAGCCAAGGTTGTTTCATTGTGCATTTCCTGTGACAGCTTCTTGTTACAAAGACTTTGATTCTCCTATAGCGTGCCTGTGGAAGAAATTATTTAGCACAGCAAGGCAAAAAAGGGCACTTCAAAGTTCCTTTTGAATTCTAGAGATACCCCATATTGCATGCAAATGGAAGTCTCAGAAGGCAAAGGAACTGACATGTAATCCCCAAAATGCACAGCTCAGAGAGACTTGTTTCCTTATTGTCAAAGTTATTTGCAAATAAATCTTATTTTATAATACTTTCTGACACACCTTGTTTGTATTGATTTTTCTTTCCTTTTTCTCCAAGCCATTGAATGTATTTCAGGGTGTAAAACAGAACTTACACTTTAATGTGCATCGTTAACTGTTAAGTATGAATTATTATGCAATGACACACAATTAAAGCATCAAAGCTAGTTAAATATATTTGTTTACTTCCTTGTCCGAAGAAATATTAAAGTAACTAATTTTCTAAAGGCATTTCCTTTCTCTGTCAAAACAGAATCAGTGGGTCTCTTCTACCTCTCTCCCCTCAAAAATAAGGAGAAAATCAGAACTGACTTTGTCAATGCTGTACTTGTTAGAAGGGGAAAGAAGGAGGTGCCTTGCACTCCAATGTTGCTACATCTCATTCTGCAGGGGGAAGTTCCCATCATTGGGACTGGAAGTTCTCACTGGGGAGAGGAAGAGGCACATTCTCCAGGCAGTTCCTTACTTCTCAGTCAGGAAAAACCTCCAAATCTGAAGTTCACAACTTTAGGCTGCAGAGCTCCAAAAGATTTAAGGCAGATATGACCAAGCTGAGTTCACATGCCAGTTAGAGGCAAGTTAAAAAGGCCATGTCCAAAAAAGCTGCAGTGAAAGTGGCTGTGCTTCCCTCACTCACTGGTCTGGGCAGGGAGAAGGTTCCCTATAACCTGACTTTGTTTTGGCCTCGTGGAGGACAATGTGGTATACAGAGATAGGGGAGGCTAAAAAAAAAAAACTCATTCCTTGAGAAGAAAAAGGAGAAGTAAATCTTGGAGAAGACACACTCAAACTGAAGTCACTGAGGTATTAGACAGTAGAAAATGTTGGAAAGGGGCTGAAGCTGCTGTAGATGACTCAATGATTTGTCTTAACATCATCTGAAAAGATGTGAAAGGGGAACAGGGATTTCCTGCACTGGGGTGGGGGTGACTGTTGCCTCTGTGGTTGGCCGTGTAGATCCCTGTGTTGCTGTGGGCTGCAGTGCCTCAGTGCTCTTTCTGTCCCCTTTGTGCTGCTGGGAGAGCAACAAGAAGTGCAGTCTGTACATAAAACAACAGGCATTAAAGGCAATCCTGAGACTTAGTTTCTAGTCTCCTGGCCACCTCTTCCTTTTTTTTTTTATTTTATTTTTTTGTGTGTGAACCAGTCCAAATTTCAAAAAGGTCTTGTTAAAAGTAAATTCTGTCCCAGCAGTGATTTAGTATCTGTAATGGGCAAACTATCTAAAGCCATGGCCCCATTGTGCACAGGGAAGTATTTTTGGAGTCCCCCTCCATGCCTCTGGAAGCTCCCTTCACCTCAGCCCGGCAGTGAAGCATTATTTTGGGCATTGTGTAACTACCCATGTCCTTCCATGAGCAGTGTTATCTCAGTCTGGCCAGTGTGATCCTTCTTGTTCCTTCCACATCACAATCCCTTCTTCCCTAAATGGGCACTAGGGTGCATCTCTAGCATCTGCTACAGTTGAGAATGAATAAAAAGGTTTGGGACAGACTTTGTACAACCTCCTTTACGTCCACTTAGGTACAGCAGAGCTTTCACCTTCTTGTTTCTTGCTCTTTTAGAGCATGTCTGTGCTACGAAAAAGGACATGGTCTGAAATTCTCTCAGGCGCTGCTGACCCCAGGTGGTAAATCCCTGAAGCACAGCAGTAGTACAGATAAAAATTTGGGAGTGGGAACAGTGCAGCATGTTAAAGCAGCCATGCATGTGAGCCCAGCTCTGCTACAGCTCTTGGATGGAGCTGTTTACTATGGAGCCGGCTGGGAAAGAAATGTGGGTTCCATGTTACAGTGGAAAAGAGCTACTGCTAGATCAGGGCAGGTCCCCATGGCTCCAGGTACCTGTGCTCAGCCAGGGGTGAGGCTGAGCACGTAGTCCCAGAGACAGAGACATGCAGATGCACAGACATCTGTGCATCAGCCATGCCGACCAATGCAGACAGAAAACACAGCATCAGCTGTTTCCTTTGTGAGCCCAAGCCCCTGCTGGCAGCAGCCATCTCCATCTGTGGGCTGAGGGGCTGGTGCCTCCTCCAGACAGCCCTGGGAGCAGCCCCAGCAGGGACTCAGTTGGCTCTGGGGAGGTAACCTTGCCTTGCTCTGCTCCCTCATGTGTGCAGGGATGAGCCATCAATCGCATAACCTAATGCTATTCAATGGCAGGATGTTGGTGCTCCTGGTTTCTCCAGCGCTGCAGCAGGCAACAGAAGATGCTGTTACATGTGAGAAGTGATAATGACATGAGACACTGGTGCTGAGTAAGTAACTGTGTCCGGGTATTCTAGAGAACTCTCTGGAGTCCCCCTCTGATAAATGAGAAAGGAGAA